GACGGTTGCAGTATCCCAGGACCATGTGATTAACTTTTGTGATCTTTTGATAAGCGACGTCTATAGGGAAGCCGGATTCACTTAACAACCATGTTACTAACTTAATAACTGCAGTGATTGTGGCAAGGAAGATCATAAAACGAGACAGAAATCTACATATATGTAATTCAAAACAATTCCTTTTCTTTCTCATGCTTTTCTAACACAAAGGAGAAAATGTTTCTCTATTTTGAGAAGATACAGTCTACCCTCACAAATTGCTCTGGAAATGGCTGCTAATCTTTTTATTATTGTGAACCAGCTCCGATGCCATTAATGTCATATAACGTCTAAATGTGAGTGCTGCGTTGGCTTTCAGTGGATTTTAAGGGACTATTCAATGTATTCTGATTTATTTGCTTTTAATCCTTAAAGTCTTAGATTAGTACCCACCTTGGCAATCTTTCATGAAGCTGTAAAAATTGGAACCTTTGGGAGGTTCACATTGCCCCGTGTTTGGGAAGCACCTATAATTATTTTAAGGATTATTGTCTTTAATTTAGGGATTATTCTATTCATCCCCAATTTGGTAAGCATCTAAGCCTTCTGCAGCCAGTCCAAAAGCTCATGTTTGAATACATAATCTTTATGCACTTTATGAATAATATTTTCCATAAACTTTTGAACTTCTTTTTCATACTTTATTTGGACAATATTTTCTGTAAGAACCATGCTATCCACCTGGAACAGGCGGTAGTCAGTCTTGCAGTGTCTTTGTGACTACACTACCTAATCTACAGAAATGTGGCTTTGATCTGCCTTTGAATATTTGAAATATCACTTTCCTCAAAAGAATTGCAGATGGATTTAACCAAAGTACAATATATTTTGGCTTGAAACCTTCCCCCGATCCCCAGCCGTCCACTCAATATTAATGATATACGAGGGCTTTTGGGCTTTGCCAATTTTTGCGGTAACTTTTCTTCTAATTTTCTTGAACAATGATTCCGGTCATAAATATTCTCTCTCAAACATACAGGTAGAAATATAAAATCAACACCAAGATTTTAATTCTTAAACCTTACTTTATGCTTGGAGTAACAATCTTGTGGGTGGAGCAGACAATGTAAGACAAAAGATTGCTACAGTGTATACCTTTCTGATTTGATGAGGTTTTAATTGTTGAATGCCCATATTTTAATATTAATATATTACTTTGACTACTATTTTTGCTAGATATACATTAAACAAATCAATCAAAACGTGAAAGTAAAGGGACTCGGGAGGTGAAAGGGACCCAAACATTGGGGCCTGAGATAACTTCTCTGGTTTGCTATTCCAGTAGTTTTTAGTTTCTTAGCCAACGAATAAGGAGTGCTGCTCTTCAACTTTCCAGTTCCAGAATTTCCTTTCTGGCTGATGGACAAACTGGTGTTTCCCTTGTCATGATGCTTTAGCTAGGAAGTACTCCAGCTTCCTTAAGCTCCTGACAAAGAGATAAGACTGGAGCCAAC